TGGCGGCGGCCGAGGCGGCAGCGGCAGCGGCGGTGTGTGGCTCAAGAACTCTGCAGTGGCCCTGAGAACTGCTGGCCCTGACTGGGGAAGGGCAGGCCAGCCTGTAAGGCATCCCATGTGGACACCCAGGCCATTGAGAGCTGGCTCGAGGTCACAACGCGGTGGTGGTGGAAAGCAGGATTTGAGCTTTTGGCACCTCAGCTTGGGAGACTGGCACCTTCAGGGGGGCCAGAGCGCAGCCAGAGTGCGGTGGAGCTGGCAGGAAGGATGGTCCCCTCGCTGCCAGCCCCCTCCTGGGCTGCCTTGCCCTTTCCTTCATTCTTTCCACAACAAGCAGGCACACCCTCACCCCAAACTCCCTGGAACAATAACTCGGATAAAGCAACAGAGATCAGGTCGGTTAGAGGAGGAGGCAGGGTGGGTCAGGACTGAGGATCAGACCTTGAGACAGGCAGAGGGTGGGCTGAAGCAGGGGCCACGTTGGGACAGGTGTGGGGCTGACAGCTCACTGGTGGCAAGAGATGGGACAGAGGCAGAAACAGGTCCGAGACTGGACAGGGACGTGTGAACACCCGGCTTGGGCCAGGAATGAGGTCCCCAGTGGGCCAGGTGCCTGGGTCATGACTTGATTCAGAACTGGGTGCAGAATGGGACCTGGCATTCCCATCTCTGCCCACAGCTGCCCCAGCCACCTCACCCCGCGGGGAACTTGGGGGCCCAACTTTCCACCACCCACAGGCACACCCAGCACCAGCCTTCCCGCCCGCCCGACCCTCAGGGAGGGGACCACAGGCACCGGGCCGTGGAAGGACTTGAGGTTGTGGGCTGGGGGAGGAGGAAGTCACCCTGCAACAAGCCAGTGCGTCCCCACTTCCTCTGAGCCTTGAGCCCTCTGCCCTCCTCCACTAGCTAAGCCTCAAGCTCCTCCTGCTAGCCCTGCCAGGCTCGGCGGGGTCTGGAAGCCTCCCAGGTCTCCCGCTGGGGTGTGAGCACCAGGCCCCCATTCACCCAGGGCTGTCCTGGCTCAGCTCACAAGGTGCCCAGAGGAATTAGTAGTAGCGCCTCTTTCACTTTCAAAGTGATCTGATTCATGGCTGCCCATCATAGAAGGGCCTCCTACCTGCAGGAGAACCTGGCCAGGAAAACACCACAAAGCCCCTCATCCCACCTGCCTGGCCCCTGTGGCATTGAGAAGACATCCGGGAGACTTGCGGGACTGGTGGGGAGAGGAGGAAGTTGGTTTGGAGACACCAGCTTCACAGCTGGCTTCAGAAGGCGGGGAGGGCCACACGCGGGGCGCGTTTTCATCATCTCTGCACTGGGGATGCTGAGGCAGTGGGACTGCTGGGGAGTTGGGCACCAGTGTGGGCTAAACATCGAGATGCTATCTCAAAAAGTCTAGAAGTGGGGGAGGCACTTCCCATCCAGGAGACAGCCCGGCAAGGGCTGCTTCTGGTGTGGCTGGCGAGCATAGGGTGGAAGGCATTCCACAGCTCCCAGTGCCTCAGAGGAGCCGAGACCCGGAGCCTGCGGGGAGAGCTCAGGGGTTAACTCCTGTGCACACAGGGGCCAGGGGCTGGGGACACTCCACAGAAAGGAAGTAAGGAGGGGCGCTAGTTCTGGGGCACAGGCTAAGCCTGGGGTACGCGAGGGTCTCCAGCTTCCGTCCTGACCTGGCTCACACTGCCCTTGACCTCCGAGCACAGTTTCCATCGCCTCTGTGAGCTCACACTTCTGCCCCACCGTTAACCGCAGCCCACGCAGAGGCTTGTGGGTGGGGGGTGGGGGCTGGGGGCGGCGGAAAGGGCCAGGCCGCAGGCCGAGCCCCCCGTGCAAGGGAGAGGGCGAGGTTCACAGCAAGGTAGCCAAAGCAAGCAAGGGCTCTCCAAGTCAACCCAGTCGCCCCAGGATCCCAACTGAGACCAGCGGTGATACCTTTCTAGGTCCCAAAGAACCCCCCAAGCACAGGCTGCATTGAGCTCTGGTTCCCCCTCGGCCTCTCCCATAGCTACACTCCTGGAAGCCCCAGGGGCTTGGCACAGGCAGGCTGGTGGGGACAGGGACAGAGCGCACGCGTGACTCAGGCTCCCCGGGTGGGAGGATGGAGGGAGCCCTTGGGAAGAGCCTGTTACCAAAAGGAGCTGGGTTTATAAGAAAATAAAACTACGGGGGAGGGAGGACTTCCTGACAGCTCCGCACATGCATAGTGCCACGGTTGCCATCTAGCCTGGGGAAACAGGTAAGACCTCAGGAGGACCCGGGGGGCCAGGGGCGGTGGGGCCTGCTACCTAGAGAGGAGCTGAGGGACAAGGCGCTTCCAAAGAACCTGCAGCGCGCAGTTCTTTCCCACTCGGCTCAGCCTTCAGGGGGGCCCATACCCCTCCATAGCACAGGGCTGGCATTCAAGGCTGCGCCCTGGGTCTGAACACATGGACCAGGGTGGACCCCCTAGGCAAAGGCCAGCAGGGCCCTGGGCAGCATGGTCCCACCCACTGAGTTCTCACCCGGCTGTCACAGCTCCACCCAGGCCCTCAGCCCATGGTGGTGAGGGAAGCGAGAGGGGACCCGGTCAGCCAGAGCCCAGAGAAGGATGAGGAGGCTGGGGAGCAGGGTCCCTGGGGTCCTGGTGGGTGTGGTGTGCGGTGGGATGCAGGCTGAGTCTCGGCCTCCGGCCCCCTCCAGCAAAGGCAGCCTCCTGCCATGGTGCCACTCGTCTCCCCGCAGGGGAAGGACTTAGGCGGAAGGAGGTTTGAGCTATTTCTCAGAAAGCGGGAGAGGCGAGTCCCGGTGCAGGGCCCTCTGTCACCTCCTGCCCCTCCTGCGGCCCCTCTGCCTGTGGGATCCCATGTCCCAGTCTCCGCGCCACTGCATTGTGACCCCAAAGAAGCCCCTCCTGCCTCTAAGCCTCAGGTTCCTCCCTTCAGAGACAACAGACAGGGCACAACAAATCTTGAGTGAGGCCACCTTTCTTGTCCTCAGCTCTGGGCCTTGCTCCTTGTGTAGAAAGCGGAGCCCCAGAAAGGCCCCCAAGCTCACCAAAGGACACAGACTATAGCAACAGTGAGTACACCTCGCAACACCTCAAGAAGAGATGGGCTCCGGCCCGGAGGAAGGCAAAGGCAGCATCTCAGAACCCTCCTCCTTCCTGGGACAGCCACAAGCGGCACCACCCCCGAGGCCTGGGAAGAGAGGTCATGGAGATAACGCAGACTGCTGGCCACAGGGACACACACCTATAATCGCAGCACTTGTGAGGCTGAGGCAGGAGGATTGCCCCTGCAAGTTCAAGGACAGCCTGAGCTACAAAGTGAGTTCAAGGCCAGCCCAGGCCACATAGGGAGACCCTGCCTCAGAAAACAAAACCAAATAATGCAAAGATATAAAAGTAAACCTGATGGGAACACAACTCTCAGCCTCAGGTTAAGAGGCAAAAAGGGGGCCGGTTATGGTGGTGCATGCCTGTCATCTCAGGACTCAGGAGGCTGAGGCAGGAGGATAACTGAGTTTGAGGCCAACCAGAGCTACATAATGAGTTCATGAGCAGCCTGAACTACACAGGGAGACCCTATCTTGAAACAAAACATCCCTAAAGCCAAAGAAACAAACAAACGTGGTTAAGAGGACAGGGTTAACAGGGGTCACTTACTGATCATCGCCAACTCTCTTCACCCAGGCCATGTCCCGCTCTGACTGGTTGGAGGCCAAGTCCTAGGCGGGAGGAAGGTCAGGTGAGTCCTCCGGCCACGGGGCTGCAGTGTGGCCTGCGAGGGCTGCTCGTGCCCGCCCGCACCTGTGCGCGCGTCTCCTGCAGCTGCTTCAGCTCCCCCTGCAGCCGCTCACACTCGGCCTGCAGCTGCTCCTCTCGGAGATGAGCCCCCCGCGCCTCACCCTGGGCAGCCTCCAGCGCCTCCTCCAGCCGCCGGCGCTCCAGCTCGCTCACACTTGGCACCGGACCCGGCCAGGCCGCTGTCGGGCGGTAAACAGGAGTCCCGGGTGACTACCTCCGGGACACGCAAGCAGGACAGGTGGGGACCGCCGCTGGGGGGACGGAGGAGGAGGGCGGGCTGCCACGCTGCAGCAGGGCATCCTTGGCTTCGCCTAATCACACCCGACACAGGCCAGGCACACTGGGTGGGCGCGCCCTCTGCTGGCACACCCGGGAAACTGCAGCTGACTGGCCAGCGGCTTCTCGGGAACCGCCAAGTTTCAAGGGAACATCAGTGGGAAACATTGGGGAAAGACTGGTTGAAGTTTGGGAACAGGGCTCACGTGATTCTGAGAGACATTTAAAATATCGGAACAGGGCTTTACATAAGCAAGAGATGTCCAGTGGTGGTGTAATGGGGCTAAGACTTGAGGCCTCAGAATCAGGGTGATGAGGTCGTAGAGGTCTCACCATGACCCACAGCGGAGCCTCCTCTCAGAGCCAGGTAGTGCAGGTCCAGCTCGGTGCAGGGTGGGGTGGGGGCCAGTGGGGGGCTCAGGCTGGAGAAGGCTGCATCCCGGAGGCCTTGCTGTTGTCGAAGCTGCTGCTCCAAGCCGCAGATCTGCCGCAGGTGCGTCTCCACCAGGGCCCGCTGCAGGAGGAGGCACAGGAGCTGAGTCCACACAGGCCAGGCAGCCCCCACCGGCTCCGAGACCCAGGACACCTCACATCTGGACAGTTGTCACCCTCCAGAGGGGCAGAGGCTGTCCATTCACACAGCCCTCGCTCCCAGCTGCCACGGGTGCGAGGTCTCCTCTCCCAGGAACTGCAATGCAGATGTTATTAAAGCAAAGCACTTTTGCACCAAGGCTCCGTCACTGGCCCAACAGCTCAGCCAGGAGGTGCGATGGGAGCTAAGTGACTGGACCAAGGTCCCAGCAAGGAGCTGGCACTCTCTCCCGATCTTGACACCTGCCCACCTGTTCCCACGCGCAGCTATAGAAGCACCCGATCCATGGACCTGCTGTGGTGGCAGGTCGGGCCAACAAGATAAACCTTCCTTCCCAGTAACCCTGGTGTAGTCACCCACTGCCAGGATGACACACACAGCCTCAACCCCAAGACTAAGTGGGCATTCACGGGGACACATGTGCACATGCGGGCTGGTCACAGCAAGTGCAGTGCGACCGTGGGGTTCTGCAGTCACAGGGCTAGAACACCGATGCGCAGACTACACAGGCGCAGGACACCAAGGGGCGCCCTGGCCTCCTGGCCTCACCATCTCCCCCAGCTCCGTCTCCAGGTCGCTTTTTTCTACGCAGAGTTTCTCGTAAGCCTGGATCATCTCCCCCAGCTGTTCTTCCTGCTCCTTGTTCTTCTGCAACTGTGTGGGCCAAGACAGGCACCCCAAGTCAGACCCTCTTCTCTCCCTGGCCTGGCTGCCCCACTCCCAGCGCCCTGCGGAGGGGCAGGAGGAGCTGGACGATGGCCATCTTCGATGGGCAGGGCTGGGGCAGAGGCTGGGGGTGCGGGGCACCAGTGACACCTGCAGCGGTGAGTAGGGCACTGGAAGCCAGGCTCACCTCGTGCTGGAACTGGTTGAGTCTCTGCTGCAGGCTGACCTTCTCCACCTCCAGCAGGGAGCCGTCCTTGATTTCATACAGAGAGAAACCATGCTCCTCCCCGAAGTCACTGATCAGCGGGTACTATGGGAGGGGACGGAAGAAGGGCAGGTCCTCAGGAAGGCTGCAGCCAGAGTCCCACTCATGTCCACCCTTCCACCCACCAGTGGGACCCACAGTCGCAAAGCCCATCCCTCTTGGATTTTGCCTCTAGGGCAGCTGCCCCAGCCCTTGTCTGCAGGAACCCCAGTCTCCAAAGCCCCAGCCCACACCCTGTGCCACTCCCCACACCCACCCCCTACTGACCTTGATCTCATAGACTTTGAGCCGGCGGCGGAGGGTGGCGTTCTCCCTCTCCAGGCCCCCGAGTCGCTCCTTGATGTCCCCATAGGCTGTGATGAGGGCAAAGTGGGAAGCCGAGCACATGTCCTCCCCCAGCGAGGGATCTCCGGGGCCATCCAGCCACACCTCACTTGGCCCCAAGGCCTCCTGGGTCAGGATGCTGATGTCATCCTCAAACATGGACTCCATGGTAAGGTCCTCAGCCCCCCTGAGCCTCCTGGAGAGCAGGGACAACGTGGAGAGGAACACCCCAGCCTTGTTTCCAGGCCCCTCATGCTGGCCGCCAGCAGGAGCACCCCGAGACAAAGCCTGGAAGCCTCTGGCCCGCAGTGCAGTGGGGGGCTCCCCTAGCCCCTCTCAGACCACTACGCCCATTCTGTGGGGCGGAAGGGGCAGGCATTAAGTGGCGCCAGGAGGTTAGGGACAGTTGACAAACCAGGACGAGGAGGCCCAGCCAGCAGCAGGAAGGGAGACCTGTGGACCCACAGGACAGCCTTCTGCTCCTTCCTTGGTCCCCCCCATCAGTACCGGGCCACCAGGCGCCCCATCCCAGACCTCTGGCACCCCAGCTCCTCCCCGAGGAAGGCCCCTGCCCAGCGTGGCTTCCTCTCGCAGGATCCCGAGTTCAGGAAAGGGAAGCGCCGCCCCCGCACAGGGGCTGTGGCCACCGTCCAGGCGAGGCCCCTGACCTGGGACCTACAGGAAGTCCTTGGCCCGGTGTCAACCTGCTCCCCAGCCTGTCCCCGTGTGGCGGGCGGCACACTAGGAGCCCTGGGAGGGGGCAGGGATGACTCAGGGCTCCCGAAAGGAAGAGTAGGCAGCGAGGGGGTGCGTGTGTACTTGTGGGGCCTGTTTATGAATGTGTGAGGCTGGCGCGGGGGGAGTGTGTCTGTGAATGAGTGTAGGTGTGTCACCGTCAATGGGCGCCTCTGCGGGGTGCAGGCGGGGGTCGGCCGAGTTGGGAAGCGGCCGGGGCTGAGTGTGTGCGCGCGTGTGAGCACGCGTGCGTGAGCGTATGGAGCGGTGGGCACGCTCGGGCCGCGTGTCACGTGAGGCACTATGGGAATGTCCGAGGTGTGCGCGCGCGGAGGGTGTGTGCCCGGGCGAGGGGCGCGGCGGCGGGGCGCGGGG